AGGTCTTGGACTGAAGGTCTGTCTGCACTGAGGGCAGCTGTAGACTCTCTTCTCATCCTCCTGATCCCAGCAGTCTGTAATACAGCTCTTACAGTAACTGTGTCCACACTGGATGGTCACTGGATCCTTCAGGAGATCCAGACACACCGGACAGACAGCTGAATCCACTGAAATACGGGCTTCTGCCATTTTACTGCATGAATACAGAGACACAAACACACAACAGCTCAGCTACACTTCAGTTTCTTGTTCTGTGAACTCATGTGAGTCCTGTTTCCTGGTTCTGTGTTTGAGTGACGTGTGTAAAACAGGTTTGTCTGCGAGTCTGTAAAACAGGTTCCTCATTTCTGCTCCTGCTGAGTTTCGACATGCTTGACTGTTGTTAAAGTAAATGCAAAGACCTTGACTAGTTGATTCAGGTGCAATAAATTAGAGATCAAACTAAACCTTGTGGGAAAGCGACTCTCCTGGAATAGGATTGGGAAACCCTGATGATGAAATGTCTACTAGATGTCAGTCTCAGACAAACACTCAAAGAACACAAGTTACAGAGAAGCAGGAAACTGAAGTAATTCTGCATCCTAATTACTACAATTGTACTGCAGGACTGAAAACTGTCCAGATTTACAGTTTCTTCATGATCACACTGATAAATCTGTTTTCTCAGTCTTCAGCCGGCTGGCAGGGGCTGCCACTGATGGGTCACGTGACCTGCAGTATCATGAGCCTGCACCCTGTTGAACCTCCTTGGCAGTCAAAGTCTACTCCCTGAAGTTCGCCTACTTGTTGGTAGCTTGAGATTGATACAGCTCCCCATGAGCTGGTTTAAGTCGATCAACAGTAACCCATTCAGTACAGCCCCAAATATACACTGGAAATGTTTTGACTCCAGCGTCCAGAACACGAAACAGTCCATCATACAGGGGACGCAATGAATTTTGCTGAGCATCATGATGAATGAACATAAACTCAGCTGTAAGAAGTCCTTGGGGATCCAAGCGGTCATGAGGTCATGCTGAGAGTTAGGAACTGGTTTGAAAGCATTTATTCTGTCTAAGGGGCAGGCTGGTCAGAGGATAGAGCCCATGACCTTGTGCTCTCTGGAATGAAATCTCTCTGATCATACACCAACTCTGCTGAGGAAGTTTGAAGATCCTCCTCAGGAGCTGTTCACAGGTCCAGCAGGACCCAAGGTAGCCGCTCCACTTTTCTGTCGTCTGTCAGACTGGCCCTAAGTATAGTTTTGAGAGAGCTATGAAAACATTCACAAAGGCCATTTGTCTGAAGTGGTACTTCAAGGATTCGAGCACCTCTGCCCACAACTCAGACAAAAATTGAGAGCTGTGATCAGAAGATATGCTCGATGGCATGGCAAAACGTGCTACCCATTACAATTGGTTACAAATTTGATATCCGATTATGGGGAAATTATTAAATATTGGGGAAAATATTGGTAAAACCGATTATCGGTCGATCTTTAGTCAGTGCCATTGACATCAACAACTACAAGTTTTTATGTATATTGCATAGGGATGCATGATATTATCAGAATGTTATCAGAATCGGCCAATAAAGGCTTAAAATGTAAACATTTTTTGAAAACATTTTTTTTTTTAAATATGCCGATATGCCTTGCCGATAAGACGGAGAGCTCACATGTGCTCAGGCTGTGATAGTGATAAGATCACAAAAATAACTAGTCTGTTTTGATTTAAAGGTCAGAAGCTATAGCTTACATTAATAAAATTCAAAAACATGACACTTGTAAATTAAATAATTTAATATATAAAGATTTACTGTGTAATATGTAATATATTTTTTTCAAATGGAATATGAAAACTTAAATATAAGGAGCTCTAAAAAAATTAGAATTTTAACATTTTAGACCATCTATTAATGTTAAATCCACAAATAAAATGTTAAGGTTTCAACTACATCTGTCTGAGAAAAAATACAGAAGATATTGATTTTATTACAGTTATTTTCAAGGCTTTCAATGTACTCTGATGGTACATGATGGACCTGATGGTGCAGGAGACCACCAAGATGGCTCAGGCTGGACAGATGTCCACCTCCAGGGAGCTGACTAGGCAGGAGACCACCAAGGTGAATCAGGCAGGACTGGAACAAAGAGCACAGAGAGGTTAACAATGGCCTCAGTGGCCGTAACAGGACAAACAGACAGTTCAGAAACAGCATCTTTGGCCGTAACATGGTGAGCAGAGAGTTCAGGGGCAGCCCTTTTGACCGTGACAGGACAGGCAGAGAGTTCAAAGACGACCTCCTTGGTCGTGACAGGACAGTCAGAGAGTCCAGAAACAACCTCCTTGGTAATTGCAGAACAAACAGAGAGTTCATGATCGGCCTTCTAGGCCATGACAGGGCAAACAGAGAGTTCAAGAATGGCCTCCTTGGCCGTGACAGGACAAACAGAGAGTTCAGGAACGGCCTTCTAGGCCATGACAGGGCAAACAGAGAGTTCAAGAATGGCCTCCTTTGCCAGGACAGGGCAAACCGAGAGTTCAAGAATGGCCTCCTTGGCCGTGACAGGACAAACAGAGAGTTCAGGAACGGCCTCTTTGGCCAGGACAGGGCAAACCGAGAGTTCAAGAATGGCCTCCTTGGCCGTGACAGGACAAACAGAGAGTTCGTAAATGGGTGCCCATGCCCTAAGAGGAGCTGAAGCGGACACCACCGCCACCTCTGAAGGATCTGCAGAGGAAGCTGCCACCTCGGTAGGAGCTGGAGCGGATGCCGCCAACTCAGGAGGTTCTGCAGCTGGTACCGCCATCTCTGGAGGTTCTGCAGTGGAAGCTCCCACCTTGGGAGAAGCTGGAGTGGACTCATGGACTGGAGCGGACTCTGGATCAGACTCATAGACTGGAGCGTGCTCTGGAGCGGATTCCTCAGCTAAAGTTGGTTCTGGACCAGACTCATAGACTGGAGCGTGCTCTGGAGCGGACTCATGGACTAGAGCGGGTTCTGGACCAGACTCATAGACTGGAGCGGGCTCTGGAGCAGATTTATGGACTAGAGTGGGTCCTGGATCAGACTCATGCACTGGAGCGGGCTCAGGGACTGGAGCCATCTTTGTACTGTGCTCAAGAGCTAAAGTCATAACTAGACTACTGTCAGGAGTCAGAGCCATCCCTAAATTAATGTCAGGGACACTGAACACTGAGCTTTGTACAGAGGCTGAAGCAGACAGAAGACTGAGATCAGGGTGGAAACAGACATTAGTCTGTGGACTGTGGTCAGGGGCTGGAATCATCTCTGGGTTAAACTCGGGATCAGAAGCCCTCTCTGGGCTAAACTCGGGAACAGAAGCCCTCTCTGGGCTAAATTCTGGAACAGAAGCCCTCTCTGGGTTAAACTCGGGAACATTGCCGGTGTGTGCGCCCAAATACATAGGATGGTCGTAGCCATCACAGGCAGGACAGAGAGCGCTGCATCTATTTCCGCGAGAGACAGCGCTGTAACCGGTGAACTAGAGTGCGTAGCGGGCGGCGGGCTAGAGTGCGCTGAAAGTGCGTCACTTGAGAGCGCTGAAACTGCAGTGCTTAAGAGTGCTGAGGTCACGGGATAGCCAACCGCTCACACTGACACCAGCGGTGGATCCTCCACACTGGATGCCAGTGAACCAATCAGCAAAAGTGCAAATTTCAAAAATTCATTAGCGACCCTTGAGGACCACTTTGTTTGAGCACAGATCTTAAAGGTTCATTTAGACCAGGGGTGGGCAAACTTGGCCCTTCCAGGCCACTTTCCTTCAGAGGTTAGCTCCAACCCTAATCAAACACACCTGAACCAGCTAATCATTGTCTTCAAGACTACTAGAAGGCTACAGGCAGGTGAGTCATATCAGGGTTGGATCAAATCTCTGCAGGAAAGTGGCCTGGAAGGGCCAAGTTTGCCCATCACTGATTTAGACCATGGCAAAAGAAGTGTCTGAGTGCACAGTCTGGGAAATCAGAGTGATGAGCAATGTCAAGAAAATCTTGGATGTGGTCCTTGAGGGACCGATTACTTGAGTACTGGGTCCATGATTGGTCTGGGTCGTTAAATAAAGCTGCTGGATCCGGGTGTGGCTGAGTATTCTGTAATAAGGGGACGTGACATCGGAGGTGTGGATCCAAATGCAGGCTTTAATAGACAGACAGGCAGGGTCCAGTACCAGCAAACAGTAACAAACAAGGTAATCCAAAAGGGTAATCCAAAAACAGGTAAAGGTCAGGGCAGGCAGCAAATGATCATAAAACAGATAAACAGTCCAAGATCAAACACACAAAGGCAAGGCAAGACAAGGCGGAAAACAGGAAAATGTTACAGGCTAACAATACTCTGCGATGTGTCAGTGTGCAATCTTTATAGTCCTCATAATATGAAACAGGTAATAGCAGATAACGAGTTCCTAGGCAGAGGGAACCTGGGAAATGGAGTCCAGGGTGAGCAGTAAATATTAAGGAATGTAGTTCCCTCTAGCAGAGCTCATGGGCACTCCAGTTGGCGATCGTAACAATTGGTCAATCTCTAATTATTTTTATTTGCAGGTCCTTGCTGCCTGCTTTTATCCAGCCCTTTTGGAGGATGACAGTCTGCCATTAGATGTTAAACAGAGGGCCGAAAGTCTCCTTAGAGAATGCGATGGTGGAAGCGTAGGTGAGCTTTTGTCCCTGCAGTAAATATACTGGCATACCTTGCTGTTTTCATACATTTAAGCACCTTGAACTTCAAATCTCTTCAGGCTCATATACAGATTCAAGTGGAATCACCAAAATTAAACACTGCGTGTCTCAGTTTATTACCAGGAGAGATGGAGGAGTTCCTTCCTCACCTGACAACATCTTCATCAAGTCTGGGTCACAGACGGCTCTCATGGTTCAGTCAACAAAAATCATTTATCGTCATATGAATACTTTCCTTTAAAAATGTATAATTGGACATGGTATGTGGCACTTTATTCCAGACTGACTTAATATTTTCTCTGTAGATTATGCTGAAGCTGCTGATTCATAGCAAGGACTCGTGTCAGACTGGTGTGCTCATACCTGTACCCACATACGCTTCATTTATTATTGCTCTGGAAGAACAGGGAGCTGCCATCATACCGTACCATTTGTGTGAGGAGCAGGGCTGGACGCTGCAGGTGGAGGAGCTTCGCAAGGCACTTCATACAGGCAGAAAGACCTGCAATCCAGTCGCACTTTATATCTGCAACCCAGGGAATCCAACAGGTACAGTAAGAAATTATCCTCATAATTGCAAGAAATCTGTGCAGTCTAACTTGGTTAAAGCCTGTTTACCTTCATTATCCTGTCTAAAAACATACATTATACTGTACATTCTTCTCTTACCATTGTTATTATTCCTTCATCTCTTAAGAGTGCTGTAATAATTGCAAGGATAAAGAAAACTAGTGCTGACCCTACTAACTTTTCTCATTTTTGACCAATTTCTAACTTACCATTTTTTTTAAAAATACTGTAGAATACTGTTGAAGCTCAGGTCCATGCTCACCTTTTGAATAATAATATATTTAAACAATGTCAGCCTGGTTTTTGTCCATTTCATAGTACAGAAACTGCAATGGTTAAAGTTACTAATGATCTATTTATGTTGGCTGATTCTGGACTCTTAACTGTGCTCATTCAAAATCCTCATAGAGAGATTAGCTTCTATTAGAATCTGTGGTACCCCTCTTACCTGGCTTAGATCAGTTTGTTCAATTATAAAAATTTAGGCCATGTACTTCATTTGTTACTACTGGTGTTCCTCAGGGCTCTGTATTGTGCCCTCTTTTATTTATTATTTACCTTCTACCACTTGGTTATATTATTAGGAAATTTGGGATTCATTTTCATTACTATGCAGTGATGAAAATGAATCCCAAATTTCCTAATAATATAACCAGTGTGTGCAGTTTTGCAGTGTGTGGATGACACCCAGCTCTGTCCTCTAAGCCTGATTCCATTCCATTCCATTTTTGTAATTTTCTTAAATTAAATGGTGATAAAACCGAGGTTAGTAATAAATTCAATTTGACAAAATCTGACAGTTTTTATTGACTATTGATAACTCTATAGTTTCTCCATCTTCTCAGGACAAGAGTTTGGGTGTCATCCTTATAGTAGCCTATCCTTTGAAGCACACATTAATAATATGACTTGGTCTGTATATAATTCCATCTAGAGAATATCAGTCATCTGTATGTCTTGCATCTACTAGTACTGGCGTTCTTGTACATACCTTCACATATTGCTTACTGTAATGCCTCTCTTCTTTGGTGTACCTAACTTTGCCCACTGTTTTGAAATGCACTTATAAAAATTAAATGCATTTAGTGTCCAATATTGAAAACAAGGAAAGTAGCTCCTTGAATTTATGAATGGAATGGAATAAATGTTACTTCGAATATTAGGTCACATACAGAGTAGGAAATCCATAGAAGAAGTGATCCGCTTCGCTGCAGAAGAAAGGCTCTTTATACTGGCTGATGAGGTGAGTTTATCTCAGGTAACGTAAGAGCTATCTGTAAATAAAAATACAAATCTTTCTAAATCTTCAGATCAGGGGTGTCCATTCCTGCTCCTGGAGGGTCACCTTCCAGCAGAGTTTAGCTCTAGCTTTAACCCTCCCATTGCATTCAGGTCAGTTTTGACCCGGAAGCGGTACATACGTTTTTTCTAAAAAATCTATTGTTTTTAGTATGGGAAAAACTTAGCAAATTGATTAAGATTACCAAAATACTCCGAATTTATTTATTTTTTTATTTTTTTTTTCAATTTTTTAATTGGAAAAAAATGGGGCGGTTGTGGCCTAGTGGTTAGAGAGCTGGACTTGTAACCCAAAGGTCACGGTTTCGCGAGGGGAGTGAATGACCAGTGCTCTCTTCTACCTTCAGTACCCATGACTGAGGTGCCCTTGAACAAGGTTCTAAACCCCCAATTGCTCCCTGGGCACCACAGCAATGACTTCCCACTGCTCCGAGTGTTTGTGTGTGCACTTGGATGGGTTAAATACAAAGCACAAATTCTGAGTATGGTTACCATATTCGTCCATCACATCACTCAATTTTCACTTTAAACTGTGGCTTTACAGTTCACTGTTCTGAGGCTTTTTTTAGCCTCTTTCCTGCATCTCACGCGTACTTTTAAAACTGAATTTTGTTGTTAAATTTGAATATGCACACACACACACACACACACACACAACACCCATTGGGGTGTAGAGCAACATAGTCTACATTTGAAAGGAAAAGAGAGTTTGAAAGAGGAGAAGTCTACCTGCTGCCACCTATTGATGGAGTATTGCAGATTCAGGCTGTTGATCATCTTATTCATATTTTGTTTGAATACATTCTAGGGAATATTTATGTTGTCTTGAAATTGTTTTGTTAAAAAAATGTAGGGTTCATAAATTTGGAGTGTTTTTGAGCAGCATGAGTTAAAAAAATCCATAATATACTGATAATAATACTGGTAATTATACTGGCATAATATACTGATAATAATAATAATAATTAATCACATCTGAACCAGCTAATCAAGGAGTCCAGGACCACTAGAAAATTCCAGACAGGTGTGTTGAAGCTAAACTCAGAATAAAGTGGCCCTGAAGGAGCAGGATTGGAAACCTCTGCTCTAGAACCTTCCTTTGACATGTTCGGTCATTTGTTTCTCTTCAGGTGTATCAGAGCTGTGTTTATGGAGATGATACTGAGTTTTATTCCTATAAGAAGGTGTTATCAGAAATGGGCTCTACTATTTGCAGCACTGTGGAACTGGCCTCCTTCAATTCTGTCTCTAAGGGCTTCATGGGAGAGTGAGTCGTTGTGCTCCTGAATGTTATGAGGGGCCCCTATTGCATCTGTTGGTGTTCTTATTCTTTTTCAAAGGGAGTCAGTGGCAGCCCTATGAATAGTATAAAATGACTCTGAATTCAAACTGAACTAATAATGGGAGTGGGCCAGTGGGTTTGACGGTTGCACTTTTATTAAATCACCAAATTAAGTAAATTATAGCAAATCTGTGTTAGTCCTCTTCTTGAGCTCTCTTTGCGTCCAGGTGTGGGCTTCGTGGAGGCTACATGGAGCTGGTGAATCTCGACCCTGCGGTGAAGGAATACGCTAGTAGACTTTTTTCAGCTAGGTCCTGCCCACCTGTTGTTGGACAAATTGCACTTGACCTCATGGCAGATCCTCCAAAACCTGGTGATCCTTCATTCCCCACCTTCTCTGAGGTTGGTGTGCTCCATATTAGCACTTAAAGTGCCCCATTATGCTATTTAAAAAGCTCCTACAATAGGTTCACGTGCATCCAAAGTTTAAAAAAAACTTTAATTTTCTTATACATTACAGCATTATCTTTTTTCTCACAGTCTCTAGAACGGTTGAAATTATGAGTCAAAATAGTGACATTGTCAACTATGTTACCTGTCAGCCAATACTGTTTGTCTGTAACATAGCTGACAAACTCACCAGGGAAACTATCTTTTTCTTTGTAATATCAAATTATTGTTCAATGATTAAGCTTATGATTAAGCTCACTGATAAATATATCAACTAAAACCAATAGTTTTTATTGAGAAAGCAGATTGTTTTTCACTTTCTTCCTGTGTGAAATGTACCCAAAGTTCTAGAATATACAATCAAACACGCTTCACCAAGGTGTTCACTAGAAAATTACAGACAGATGTGATGATGCAGGGTTGGAACTGAACTCTGTAAGAAGGTAGCTGTGGCATTCCCTGTTTTAAAGACTCACCAAATAGTCACATGCATTGGTTGACCTGATATAACAGAACTGATAAAAGTTTAAAAGGGCCAACATCAGTAAACAATAGTAGTCAAACTAATTATCAGTCTATCACATTTTCTTGATTTAGAATTTGACTGAATGAATCTTTTCTATCAGGAGGTCCAGGCCATTAAAAATACGATATGTAAAAACACTGGTCGGATTCAGGAGGTCTTTGCTGAGCTGCCGGGGATCAGCTGCCAGCCACTGAAGGCCGGGTTTTTTGTCTTCCCCTGTCTACACTTCTCTCTGAAGGCAATTAAATGGGCCAAGGTGAGAATCTGTGTATTTCACCAATTTGTAAGTGACTGAATTAAAAGTACTGTTGTAATGCCAGAGCAGATATGCATGACCTCAAGCTTATCAGGGGCTCAACAAAATCTGAGATGCATGCTCAATGTTGTGCAGTTCTTATAAGAAGCTACAGGAAACATTTGGTGGAGGTTGTTGCTGCTAAAAGAGGATCTACTACAGGATCTGCTCATTCCTCTTTGTAATTATCAAGTGTTCATGAAAATCAGGTGTATTTGATTGGGGTTGGAGCTAAACTTTGATGGAAGGCAGATTTTCAGGAACAGGATTGAGCAACTGAATACTAACCTCAAGGGTTCAATTACTTTTGCCAGTGAATGATTGCTGAATGTATTTGATTAAAATTTTGGAAAAGTACAACTGTTTGCATGTTATTAGTTTAGTCAGATTGTGTTTGTCTAGAATTGTGACCAATACCATTTAACATTATTGGAAACTGTACATTCATTTCGATGACACTGAGAGAAGCAAACATAGAAATACAGTTCATAAACGCATTCTAGGACTGTGTCTGGAACTGATATTTTACAGAGTAACCAGAGGCGGACTTATTGATTGGAGGGCCAAATCATTTTGTCTAGTGATGTGGCCATGAAGAATGGTAAATGTTTGCCTCTACTGGTAAATAATGGTATTACACTATTATACAAAAAATAAAACAGTGCTTCTCCATTGAAGGCCAATAAAAAGTAGTATATTTACACAAAATGTGTGCCATCATCCAGTCAGCATTGCAATCTATTTACATTTATTAATTTAACAAATGCCTTTATCGGAAGCAAGGAACATCCCACGTAATTTTCCTGAGCTGTGAAGGCATAACTGTCTCGATACACATGATCTGTGATCAGTTGCACTGTCTTCAGTCCAGCCATAAATTCTGAATACCTCAGCAGTGAACAAATGCATTGATCGGACTCTAGTTCTGATGTTTTCTCTTTTGTCCATGTTTTCTTATAAAGTTGTTTTCTCTTCATAGAAAAGACAGATGGAACCAGACATGCTGTACTGTTTGCGTTTGCTGGAGGAAACCGGTCTGCATGTGAGGCCGGGCTGTGAATACGGACAGAGAAAGGACAGCCATCACATCAGGTTTGTGCACTGCCACTGTTGTGAGTTACTGCATGTATGTGAATGGTAGCCTCACACAAAACACTCTAAATGTGAATTTGTCAATTACAGTCAGTTAGTCTTTCAAATAAACCAAACATCGCATCTCCCATTGATTCCCTGTGAAAACCGGTTCTTATTGTTTCTCAGGCTTTTTGTGGCAACTCAAGAGAACATAATGGAAGATGCTCTGCAAAGACTGAAGACGTTCCTTCCGCGATTCATGAAGGAGTTTTCTTAGTGTCATCTTCAGATTATCAGATCTGTTTAACCCTTGAATGCATGAATGTTTCACCAATCAGCAACTCAAAATATATATCTAAACTGCTCCAATAGTATACAACTGTTCTGATATTTTAATAACAATTGCAAAGTGGAAAAATAAAGCATGTTTCATTATGTTTTGGAACTTGGTCGGGCGTTTTGAGCAACTGGTTACTTTCAGCATCTGGCTCTTATTGGGGATCTGAACCTTTCAATACATTATTCTCAAAACTTTTTCGCTCATGTCACAGATTTGCAGTAATCTACTGTACATGTATTTCAGTGCGAGTAAATTGTTAAATTGTACACATTTTCAGTGCTTCCAGTTATTTCACCTGTACAAAAACTGTCAATTATGCTTCTCGATATTGCAAACTGGTATTTGCTATCGTACTAATTTAATGCATTATCATAATCATAAACACTGATTTGTAGCACAAATAATTTTACTGTTAACTGCACTTTGTTACTCTTTGGTCTCGCATATTCAAAGAAAAAAAAGCTGGATTGTACAGACAGCAGCTGAAATATTCTTCAGATATCTTCTTATACGACATAAGGGTGAAGAAAGGCTGACGATTTTCATATTTCACTCTTTAAAATAAAGGATGCCATGGAATAACCCTTTTGTCTAAATGGTTCCATAAAGAACTTTTAACATCTGAAGAAACTTTCTGTTTCACAAAAGCTTCTTTGTGGCGAAAGAAGGTTCTTCAGATTATAAAAAGGTAAGAAAGAGATGGTTCTCTGACTGAATGCTTCTTTGTGGAACCAAAAATGGTTCTGTGAAGAAATCGCTGTGAAGAACCTTTAAAACACTTTTATTTTAAAGAGTGTTGGTTGAATTATGCCTTTGAATGTCATGCACAACAGCACAAACTATTTTTATTTGTAGCAATAGCCAACAATACATTGTATGGGTCAAAATTATACATTTTTCTTTTATGCCAAAAATCATTAGGATATTAAGTAAAGATCATGTTCCATGAAGATATTTTGTAAATTTCCTACCGTAAATATATCAAAACTTAATTTTTGATTAGTAATATGCATTGCTAAGAACTTAATTTGGACAACTTTAAAGATGATTTTCTCAATATTTAGATGTTTTTGCACCCTCAGATTCCAGATTTTCAAATAGTTGTATCTCAGCCAAATATTGTCCTATCCTAACAAACCATACATCAATGGAAAGCTATTTATTCAGCTTTCAGATGATGCATAAATCTCAATTTCACAAAATTGACCCTTATGACTGGTTTTGTGGTCACATATAAACAAATAAGAGAGAAAATATATAATAAATAAATAAAAAGGCATAGCTCACATTCAATTTTAATGAATAATGAACAAGGATATTACAAAGTACCAGGGGGATTGAAGAGTGTATCATAGTATTTTAAACATTTCACAGACTTTTTGTTTTTTAACAGTCTTATTGAAGAAATATAAAAGTCCAAGTCAGAACAAAACAAATTTAACATAGGAGATGAATTAAGAAATGTTTCTTTATGTATGTGAAATTTTGCTAATAAAATAAAAAGGTTAACAATAAATTCTAGATCCTTGCTTTTGTTTTCATAATACAAGATAACATCCTTTAAAGTAAAGCAACAATTAATATTTATTAAATTAAATATAACATCTGTCAAATCAATCCAAAACGTGTTTACGACTTTACAGTCAAAAGATTTGTGAGTCAGTATCTCTTTCTCATTATTACAAAAACAGCATATATCATCAATATCAGTGAATCTCGATGTTAAAGATTTAGAAGAGTAAATGGTAAGTAGAATTGTGAAATGCATTTCTTTTCTTTTATTATTAATAGAATATGTAAAAGGAATCAGCCAAGCTCTTCTCCAGTCAATATTCTCAATTATAGAGTTCCACAAAAATTCCCTCTAGAAGATATTTTCTTTTGTTTTTGGAAAATATTACAAATATGTTTGTTATTGCATTTTTTCTCAGTTAGCTCAACTTTTGTGACTTTTTGTCACAAATAAAGAAGTATAACAAATATGACTTTTGACAAGTTGTTGACAAGAAGAGTTACAGGAATAGCTTTAATAACTGAATTAAATTCCCTAAACTGTACGGCAAAACTGTACATTGACATGAATTTGTTCGTAAGTTAAAAGATTCCCAAAATTGTCAAAATTTTTATAAAGATGATTAATGATTAAAAAATATTTTAGAAATATTATAATCACGTGTTAACAGAAATGTCAAGCCTCCAATTGCAAGCACAAGATGATTAAAGAGACCGAACCAGTTTGTTAAAAACAAAGCATTATTGCAAATGAAAGAGGTGTGAGGAGAGAGATTGTGACAGTAACACATTTTCCAAGCGAGAAGAGCTTGCTGATTAAATATGGATAATTTGAGGGGGATTTTAGAAATATTATAATCACGTGTTAACAGAAATGTCAAGCCTCCAATTGCAAGCACAAGATGATTAAAGAGACCATTTGGTGGAGTATGACAGTCGGATTAAATGATATTGAAGTCATTAAAAAAAAAATAAAAAAAAACCGGTGTCTCGTAGTTACAAACACAGGCCACATGCATGGAAAGAGAACATTTTTAAATCAATTATCTATATTGTGGCGATATAGAAAGATTCTTCCTCCACAGAAATGAGGTGAGGTCCAAGAGCAAGAAGAATCTGTTTATTTATATGATCGAAATAAAATATTTTCTTAAATGTAAACTCATTAAAAAAAAAAATCTTCAGTATTAAGATTTTGGAAATAAATGTAATACATATTGTGATTGCAGACGTGTCAATAAAGACTTTTATTTTATTCACGATTACATTTAAAACACAGTATTGAAAATTAAATCACACATTTAAATTAACTTTTATTAAGCATCGGGAAAAATATGATTTTTGTATTATTTTGCATAAGCCTAAGGGATGAAATCAGAGATTTCAGCGAAAAGAAGACTTTTAATAAGAGACTTTTATTTTTGCGTCATGACGTCACACGGAGAGTGACGCAGGCAGCTGTGCGTCAGCGGAGGACAGGTTTGTGGTTTACAGCGCTTCAGTGTTTAGTGTGTTTAAAGCGATACGAAACGTTAAAGGTGCTTAGAAGTTCTGCTGTTAACAACACGGAAATATTACTGAAACCATTGTGCCTTAGTAATGTGAAGTGAATGCAGAGTATTACAGAATGCAGTGCTGTAACGGTTCGAGGCCTGCTCACATTAAGAGTGAAGCAAGAACGTACAGAATAAGAATGATAAATATATTTATTCTCAATCTGCATTGCTCCATTTATTACTGAAGCTGCATTTTTTTTCTTTTTTCGATCAGTAGCCTTTATAATCCTTCAGAATCAGAATCAGAGCTTTATAGCCAGGTGTGTTCACACATACGACGAATTTGTTTTGATGACAGAAACAGAGTGACAGTGACCAGACACAGATAATAAAAAGAATAAAAGGAAATAACAAAAATATTTTTAAAAAACACAATATACAAAATAGACAATAGATGGTATTAGTGTGTACAGGTATGTTATGGACAAATGCAAGAAATGTAAATAAGTGTGTGTGTGTGAGTGAGTGTGTGTGTGTGTGTCTGTGTGTGTGT